GCCCACACCCACACCCACACCCCACCCTTCAAGGTACATATTATTTTGTATTTGTTGCATTGGAATAATCATTGAGTTGATCAATAACATGTTGGTTATGCTTCACTGTAACAGGACGTCGATCAACCCGTTTTAATGGTTTTTTTGGTAAGTGTGCTTGTTTTGGTGCATTTGTTGTTAAACTAAAATGTCCTTTTTCACGAAAAAAATTGTGAATCTGCTCCATGGTCAAATGTTCAACTGATATTGTTCTCCATCCATTCATAAATTCTTGATGTATATCAAGATTGATATGACGATCATTATAAAATAAAACTTCTCTTTTACTACTTTCTACTTTAAGAACATCGCCACTTTCTACCAAACTACGAATAAATTTGTCACCTTTTGATTGCTGTATTGAATCTCGTACATCCTCAACAGTTACGGCATTTTCACCGTTGTCATATCGTGATTTTAAAAGTTTGAGAAGGAAGATTTTTTCCGACCTTTTAAATCAAGCGATGGCTTATATACAAATCTATGCACATCATCTGTTGTTTTAATATCAGTCTTTTCGTTTGATAAAAGTGCTTGGGAAACTAGCCAATGTCTAACAGATGGATTAATTGTAAGACCGAATTCTTTTATAATTTCATCTAATGTTAATGGATCAGTTTGTCCACTAAGAAAACGTTCATGTAATCCTTCGATAATAGTTCTTAGTATTGAAAAGTCTTGTCCGGAAGACATAATTGGCGAGTTATTAAGAGTTCTAAAATTTGAAAAAGTTTTTAACCGACTTATTTTTTGTGATGAGGTTTTATCAATATTTTGACGCGTCTCATTTGATGCAAGAAAACTTGCTGCATCAGCTAGTCGCTTACGAAATTCGTCTCGTTCTTTAACTAATGTTGTCGATGATGATGTCATTACTAAACAAAATAATTTGTGAAAATACCTGTATTACACAACTTATCAACATTGCGCATAATAAGACCTATTCTGTTCTTACACATTTCAACAAAAACATCTCAGAAGAGAATATGCAAACAATAAAGACATCTATCGTGTCGCACACTATGTACTTCTAATAGAATTTTCTTTTTACATTTAACAAGCTGGGTGGGGGTGTGGGTGCGGGTGGGAGTAAAGAGAGAAATGACACACACATTCACACCCACACCCCCACCCAGCATCAATTAATGGTAGAAATTGATTCTATGCAGAAAATAATCGATCGTTATGATACAAAATGATTGAAATGCAAAAAAAAATTGGATTCATTAATATTAATAAATATTTCTCATAATGAACGAAATGAACGTTTAAATGATGAATTAACTGATTTACATCAAAAGGAAATGTCAACAATAAAAACTGATTTGAGAAAACTTGAAGAAAAACTTTTGTACAATTTAAATGAATATGGGACAGAAATTATCGAAAGATTAGATAAACTTGATACAAGGATTAGTTGTTTTTTTTTTGCAATTCAAATTTTCATTCATAGAACATTCAGCAAAAGATAATAATAAATCAATATGATTACCTAACGATAGAATATTCAGAAAGCTGAGACTTGTATTTTATTGATTGATTTAATACTTCGTTATAAAAATGTTTTCTTACGAGTTTGTGAATTAACTGTCTTATTCTCGAAAGTGACAAATAGAATTCGAAGTTACAATTGATTTCAAAAATTAATCTTTTCTTTGTTGTGTTGAAGAACAATAAAAAAAATTTTAAAAAGAAAATCTTTTCAATTATATGAAATTAATTGAATTGTTCTAGACCAAAAGTTGAACATACTCAAGTACTTTCATTTGAAACAGAAGAAAATACACATCAACATATAAGTAAACTAGTCAATATTCCATTGACTGTATTTGCTATTATACTTCTTCTATTATCAAAAATCTTCTTCAACCACAGTAATCATTTAATTTTTGTGGAACTCACGTATATTTTCGAAGAAAATAGTGAGTGAAAGTTTTAAGTTCGAGGTTTTGCGGCTCCCTCCCCTCCCCTTACAGACAGGCCTCCCCTTACAGACCATAGCAACGAAAGAGAACATTACATACACATCCCCCCCCCCCCCTTACAGACCATAGCAA